ACCAAAAGATGATGAAGTCCACTTCTGCTTGCATTGGATGAATGTATAGCATATGGATATTCGCATTTTCTTGTTCCTCAATCCGGGACTTCTTGTCTCTATGTCGTCGTATAAGGACGGTATTGTATAGAAAGATCCCAAAACTGGTTTCGATGCCACTTTAACTCGGTCTGTCTCTAAATGAATGCCTTTAGTATCAGTTCGCATGTGGCTAAACGTATGCTTATACGTATACTTTGATTTCCAGTCCCCTCCCTAGCACTGTTTGCTTTATTCAGTCACCCGTTCAGGAGATCTTCACTAGTCTAGAAAAGCGGAAGCTTTCTTTAACTAGTTTTGCCTAATTTCTGAAACAACGGTTTATTTAGAGTATTCCACTAAAGCTGCTCTTTGATGTCATAAGTGTCCATAGACATATTCTATCTAGTTTTCAGTACAGAACACATTCAGTCACTTTTCATTTTGTCCATTAAAAATCAATAAATCATCGCATGTGTAAAAAAAATCATCCCATAAAAGAAGATTGAGCTTCGGCATTAATTAAGAGATTTTCCGAATACAACTACTTATAATCAATATCTCACAACTCTCTTTAATCACAACGTAATGCTTTTATCGAATAATAAAAGAGTAAAAATGTTTTTTAGCAAATATTCTGCATATCAATTCCAATCAAATCTCTGCTTATTTGCCACAAGTGCTCAGCAATCGATACAATCCATTTAATTTCTCTTTGCTGTTGTTTTTATTGTCATTTTGTCATTGTGAGCGCTTTAATTGCCGTCAATCCAAGGCAGTGGTCCTCTTAACTGTTTTTATGGCGCTTGGAAAGCGATCAAATTTCATGCCTTAAAAGCATTTTCAACGGCTACACACACTGGATGACCGCTGGCTTGGTGAAAAATTATCGACAAACAACAAGAGCAACAACAGCAAACCTTTATGCAACAAACCGCAATCGGACGTTTTGTTCAAACTCTTTCGCTTAAGAACCGTTTACAAATACATGTGCACACACACACACACACACACATGCACTCACATGCTTAGGTGTATGTATAGGCAAGTGTTCAGCGCAACGATATAACGGAAGTAAGAGTATTACGTTGCTGCTCTATGTTCAGGCCAACGGTCAATTTGTTTTCACTTTTATTTATTTTTATTATTGCTGTTGTTGTTCGATTGCCGGATTTGCTCATTATTTTTTTCAACACAACGGATAGTTGTAGCATCTGATATCGTACACGTGTGTCGTTCATTGTACATGTACATGTATGTTTATAGGTGAGAGTAAACGAGCTGCATCGAATAATTTCTCGTCATGGCTCTACTTTAGCTGTCAGTATTTTTATATATTTTATTTTATTTCATTTTTTTTTTACTTTTTTTTAAATTTTTTATTTTTTATTTGCCATTCTTTTTTTTAATATATTTTCAGCTGATGGTCGCATCTTTCTTTTATTTTCTTTTTCCCGCTATCACATTAAGCTGATTGGTTGGCTATGGTTGGGTCTCACCGGTGACGATCTCTGTGACGGGCATTTAAGCTGCATCAGCGAAATGAATTATTTGTTATTGGCGCACAATAGCACATGACGACATTGATTTTGTGCTTTAAGAGAATTAAACCCCATTTAAAATTATTAACTTTTTTAATACCGATAACAATGAAAAATCTATTCTTTAGGTATGAACCACTATTATTGAGGATCATACGGGATTATAAGTTGGATAAAATTTAAAATGACTTTAAATGCTTTATGGGCATTTAGTTACTTCTAAATATAGTTACTACAAAATACATTAATGTGTACATAGACATTACAGAAAATCATATTTTTAAATAATAAAAATATAGTAAAATTATTTTGATTACGTATACGCACCGTTGTACTAATTCTAATTGTATTATGAGAAATGATTAAAAGATATCAGTTTTAAAAATGTGAAATACAAGCAGCTCAAACTATTCCCCAGAAAGTTCACTTAATTATGTACTCAAATTAATCAGTGAGGAAATCCAAAACATTGTTCCTGTGAAAACCTGTTGGTCTAATAAAATAATTCTAGGAAACAGTAGTGGCATGTAAAAACGAAATAAAGCCAATTTTTTCACTCAATTAGGTCAACTTTTGTGCTGCCAAACGTAAAACTTGTCATATATGTTAATTTTTTATAACCATCCGCAATTCATCGCAACTACCCCTCTACCATATGTTGCCGACTAAGGTAGCGCAGTTGACATAGCCAGTATGCAAAGCACTCAGAAATATGTTTCCATGAGTGCATTTGGCCGCTTGGTATGACCCTTTCAGCTATGCTTGTCCCTTTGTGTCGCTTTCGTTGGCTTCAAAGTACCTCAAAAGGTTGAAATGCAACAGAAAGGGTAAAGTTTTAGTGGTTTTTCATATGTGTGAAGACGAGTTTGTGTTAGAATATACAAACTTTTGTTTATATGTATGAGTAACAGTTTTTATTCATTCTTTGTAAAACTTTAGCTCGCCCTTTTCAATGAAATGAAAGGTTGGAAAAGTTTAAAGTCATGCCCAGTCATTGTGAACTTGGCCGGGCTTTTGTGGTTTTTCACAGAGTTTTTCTGTATTGTGTAGGGACTGTGTTCACTCTGGAGATACAGAGTACATAAACTTACATAGTGTGCAACCAGAACAAAATAATTAGATGCAAAGTATCAAACGAATTTCCGGCGAAGACTTCAAATGAAGATGTGGGATTCTTCTCTTCTTCTGTCAACACACTTTTGTTATGATTCAATTGCAGTTACTTAAGAACGGTGCATAGATTTCGAGATTTTCGAACGGAAGAAGAACTTGTCGAGCTTGTGAACTCTTTTGAACTCCAAAAGCAAAGATGATATAGGTTTTTGTGCTGATGACAGTGATCTAGACTCCGATTTCGACTCCTCAGCTGCTTTGCGTTATGATGAACTGAAAACCGATATACAAATATGTGGAACTAACGAAATTGATGTGGTTGACGAGGCAAATGCAACGTTCAAACTTGGTAAAAGCAATCAAATATTTCAGAAGACGGTGAATTAAATCGATATTAAAATTATTATCATCTTTACTTTACTGATCAAAGATGTCAAGGAAGAACCAATTATTGTTGGAGATTGTTATCGATGACAGGACTACGCAAGAATGTTTGAAGATCTTTCGATTGACAAATTTTCAAATTTACTTAAAAAGCCATTGGTGCGAAAAAGCAGTATCCAAAAGTATTCAGATTGGCTTAAGTTTGGAGGCGAAACACCAGAAATATTAGCATTAAATTCACCACATCAATGCTTTTCAATATTTGACGAAGGATATTATTTTATTGTCAAACAAAGCAACCTATGGGAATCAATTATTACATGTACGGTTACAAATATCTGAGCATCCCCAAGCAGATTCAAACGTAATCGTGTGACCGAAGCCATTCAAGTACATGGGCCGGTACCACAAAGTGATGTAAGCTACTATAAGCTGTATAAAATATGCCCAATCACCAAGTTCCTAAAGGGTCAAGGTTGTGTGTTGACGAGTAAATTTGCGCTATAAAAATGAAATACTATTTGAAGCAGTCTTTGCCAGATAAACCACATCGATGGGGTGATGAATTGTGTGTGATGTGCGATGACCCTTGATTTTGTGACGGCTTTGAAATTTATTCTGCCGACGATGATCACCGTCAGGAAATGAGCCCGATTTGGGTTCATCTGCCTCGTTCGGTCACTAGATTTGTAAATGATTCCACATATTTCGACAATTACTACATTTCGATTACAAGGTATCCATTCACTTGGAAGCATTTGACGCCCACGCTATGTAAATTAGCGCAGAAATTTATTAATCGAGGTGTCAATGAGGAGTAAGTTGGAAGTTTTAACGATACCGACGCCGCAATGATGATCTTTTAGATTCTTTCTTGGCCGCAGTCATATTCGTAACAATTCACGCAAATGGACAGCTCGCTTAGTCTATCATTTGTGTGACATGACAATTACCAATGCTTGGATTTTATATAAAACACAACATTCAGTCACTACTCGAACGGATCTAAAAAAAAACACGTTGCATGAATTTGTATCCGAAGTGGCAAACTGCCTGACGATGTCTCTCACTGAGATGAGCGTGGGCAAAGGTCGATCAACTCAACTTTTACATAAATAAAAAAGAAACAAAAGGCTTTTCTTACAAAACTTATTTTTATAATTTGCAAGTCTGTATGCCCTCCACGAACCCGACGGGTATTTTTGCTGCTTGTTCGGCTTAGTTTTACTTATAGGCAAAATCCCAGAGCAATCTTTGCTTAGAAGATAATATATAACATATTTTTTTTCCTAGTGAAAAAAATCGGTCTTTTAAGGATTAATTTATTTTATTTTATATAATTTAATTTTTTTTTTGTATTATTATTTTAATTTTTTTATTTTAAGTATTATTTTTTTATAATTTTTTATTTTTTATAAAGCAAAAAAAAAACACCATATTATATTTGTGTATATTATTTTATTTTTCCGATTTTACGAACAAAATTTTGATTTTTCATTTCCTTTAATTTCATCACCCTTGTACAGAAATATACGAGTTTTATCTAGAGTTTGTCACAGCTGTCAAGGGGGACTTTATTACAAGTCAAGCTTTATCATATCGAACAGTGGCTATTGTATAATACGTATTTAAGTTTTTTATAAATTATTTTTGCTTTCAACTACAGTGCATTTTTGCTTGATTTCACTCAGTAGAAGAATGCCATGAACTGAAAGGCCCACTTCCACATGAGCGCATCGGAATTGTTGCACTTTTGCATAAAAAGTAAAATTCAAATCGATTACTGACTCCTCCCTACCTTTTTTTGGTATGTACATTTTCAGGTATCTTTACCCACCTGCCATTCGCTTTGCGAGTTCTCCTATCTCTGTTCATGTTCAGCTACCATACACTCACACTTTTCTCTCTCTCTCTCTTTCCTCCATTATAGACAACGGCACTTACCTATGACATAGGAATATCCATCCAACGTGAGCACACATTTCCTTGTCATGCCACCACCACCCACGCCGCCAACGCCAGTCCTTGTGTGTGCAGTGCGCCCAAAAATTGCCTTATTGAAGCTGTGACTACATGGACTAGTGTCCTCATAGTTGAGACTTTCACGACGGCGCGTACTATCTGTGCTGGCGAATTCATCTATACCACTGCCGCTGCCGAAATGTCCGCCCGCTGCACCGCCAACGATGCCACTGCCAGTACTGCTGATGCTTACCACACCATCACAGGAATGCTTGCGCTCATCACGCGTATCCGTTTCAGTGCCAATGCCACCTCCACCGCCACCGCCATCAACATTGCCGCGACTACCGACCGTACGCGACCGCGCCCGGTTACGCGCCAAATTCGCTGCCAATTCAGCATTTTGTGTGTCACTTTGCGTTTCCGCTGTTTGAGTGTCCGTTTGGGCCGCCACAACGGATGCACTTGCTGGCTGCTGCAGATTGAGCGCTTTGGTTGCCTCAATGCCACTGAGCGTTTGTGGTTTATCGCGTCGTGTTTGCATTGAATCACTCATTGTTGCGGTCACACGGTGATAGGAATGCGCGCAGACAGAACCTATTTTCGATAAGTTCGCGAGTGATTAACGAATGGAAGGGAAAAAAGGCGAATTAGATTAAATTTGATGAAGTTTTTGTGACATTTTGAAAAACGTTTCTTTTAATTCTTGCTATTATTAAATTTCTTGGTTTTTGTTTTTAAATTTTAGATTTTTTCATTTATATTGGATTTTATAACAGTATATGGCGCGTAAAACTTTTTTTGTTTCGAACTACGAGTTGGTACCGGATTCGCGTCAGATTTTTTTTTATTGAAATTCGAAGAGTGGTGTTGCCATTGTTGCTGCCCGCTTACCAGCCATCGAACACCTGACGTAATTCGATTTGAGAGATTTTTATTAGATTTGAAATTTCGCTTTAGCACTTTTCACTTTTCACTTTTTTGTTGATGATTTTTAAGAACTTCATTTTGGAAAAATTTATAACTTTTTTTTTTAATGAATATTACATAAAATGGAAAAATAAAAAAACCAGGTTTTCAAATAAATAGTTGAAAAATTTATATAATTCGACATTAGGGTGGCAAAAATGAAAAATATATTGTTCTTATAAAAATTTCTAAATTTTTCTTCCGCTTTTTGTGCAATTATAAAATCGTGCAACAACATTCAAAAATATGTAAGTAAATACCTATGTAATAAAATTGTACTATATATTTTTACAACACATGCGTATGTATGTACATATACCATCAATTAATTTCAGAGACTTAGATGATGATTGACCAATAAAATATATCAAGCTTCGTCTCACAGTCACTTTCAAGAAAATTACTTAGCCATTTTGGAATAATCTACCATATTCTTATGTAGTATCTGAGCAGCTGGTAAAGACCTAGAGGTGTCTTCGAAAAATTTGTCAAAGCAGCACTTAACAAAGCAATAAAGGAACTTAAATATAAACAAACTGAAATGAAATAAGAATCGATCGGAGGATATCTTAAAAATGTTGATCGAAATGCAGCCGATGATTATAGCGCTTGGAAATCCACAACATAAAGACTTAAAAAGGCCAACAATAAAGCAGATTCCCGTAGGAGATATTAACAATTCATAATGCAGATCAAATGAAAGTAAAACAAATGCTTTTGCCAAACACCTTCAAACCCCACTTCAACCATTATGCCAGCCACGGACAGAGTGTTGAGTGACATGCTCTTCGTAAAACTCTCAAAAGTTCAGGCCAAAATTTCACGAATGAGAATATTATATGGATTTTTGGACAATTAGTCAACTTTCAAAGAAATGCTTACTGATTTTAGTGTTGATTTTTACTGTGGCTTTAGGCTTAACCACTTCCCCACACAGTAAAAATGTGCTGAAATTGTAATGGTATCAAAGGCAAACAAGCCTGAAAATGACCAATGATCGATTATTCCTGATCATCAATTAGATTTCAGGCAGATGCTTGGTGCACCGGCGTAATATTTTAAATTAAAACAACACACCGCAATTTGGAGGAAAAACAGTTGCCTAGCGCAATGTTTCACAGAATTTGGCAGAGTCTCAGGTCTGCTATATAAATTTAAAAACATAGTTTCCATTTCGCTCTATCACTTACCTAGATCTTACTTATGTTACAGACGTTTCTATGTTAGAATTCTTAATGCAGTTTCAGATATAAACGTGGTAAGGACTGGTATTCTACTAGGTAATGTATTGGGGCCAACACTTTACACATTTTCAACGCAGATAAGGTAATAATTGAGGAATCTAATCTAACTGCTGCCACTTATGCAAAATGCACTACATACTTTCTTTCTCCTTCCCTTCAAGCGTAAATGAAACCGTTATTGCTAGATCGAACAGTGCTAAGTATCTCGGACTGTTTTTATATGACAAATTAAACTGGCGTGAATATAATTATTAGAGTTAAAAGAAAGCATCTCATAATTGAAACCAGAAATATGTATTGGTTGCTTGGTCCCATATCTAAACTTTTCCCTGAATCTAAAATGATTCCTTATAAAAAAAAACTGAAACCAGTTCAATCTTGGAGAATTAGAATATGGGGCACGGCAAGTAAATCCTCACTATCTGTGATAGGGAGATTCCAGTCAAAAGCACTTATATTAATAACGATTGTTCCACGGTCCAATATCCAAAAAGGTTCAGTTCAAGTTTAAAAAACTAAACAACCATCAAAGCAAACAATTTATTGACGCGCTGGACAATAGTGAGGAAGTAAGGAGACTACAATAACCTCAACCTCTGAATTTGCCCCACAATTTACAAGCGATTTTATGGTCGCTCAATCATATAGTCTTTGGAGCTAATATTCCCAAAGAGTGTTGTTTTGTGAGCAACGTTGTATTATTTGTATATACATATATATATATATATATATAAATACATATAAACGAGCATATAAATAAAAATTATCTACTTAAAATTTAAGACAAATTGCCTTTAATTCATCAACGTGAATCAACCTACGGATTGTAAATAAAAAAATTATTAAAAAAATTGTTTAAAATGTAGAATTGATAAAATTTGAACAAATCAACGTTTTCCAAAGTTCACCTAAAGGCAGGTTAAATACATTGCACCGGCATTCTTGCTTTTATACTCTCAAAATCTTATTTTGTTTAGGCACTAAATAATTTATAGAGACGCTGCCCGATCAACTGGCGAAAGAAATAATCAAAATAAGTTTCAGATGTGAATTTTTGTACAAAAGTTCTTTGCGTAAGTAAAACCTTTTATAATTATCTGATCAAGAGATCAAAAGAGGTTTAGAAATGTTCGATTTTGATGACAATACAAATATATAGAACGGAAACGATTTGAAAGAACGCTCAGTCTGAATGCGCGCTCGTGTGCTCAGATGGGAAAACCGAGTGACCATCAACTTCGATTTTGAACAGATGTTGCATTATTGATGTTGTCCGATGTGCGGGGCGGCGTGATGGTTGTTGTTGCAGCTGGCAATGTTGACGCAGCGATTATTATTCGCCACTTAGTGTCAAGGCCAATTTATTGCAACTCGTTATAGCCTTGACTCCACTTAGTCCACATCAAAGTCTGTGGAATTGGAGATTGTCATGTACTCAGCGAGGAATTGTTTTTTAAAATGAAGAAGCTTCGGTCATACTTTTTTGAAAGACGCCCCAGTCGGATCGAGAGTCAACACGAATAGATGGTACTAAATAATGCAGCTCTGAATATGTTTGATTTACGCACATTTTCATTTTTTGTATTATGTGATGATACAGTATTTGAATAAACACCCTTATTTGAAAATGTAATATTCTTAATTTATGATTCTCTGCCATGTCCCTAGCGAGAAGCATTGCTTCAGGTCCTACAAAAAATAATATACGATGATGTAGTTGAAATAATCGAATTCGCTGTGGACATAAAAAAACCATATAAATTTGTGGTGAGCGTTTTAAGGATTTTATTCCAAGAAATGGAAGGACCTACAAAATACTTCATTTTTTACCAAATTAATTGTCTATAACTTTTGGATGTTGTCCATCCGAATCGCAGTACGCAATGCTAGCCACTCGCCTACCGCGGCCACTATATGTAAACAAGAAAAAAGTTTAAAAATAACCAGAATTAATAACATAACTAGGAAATAGTAGAAAATCGTGGTAATAAATTCTTCAGCCACACAAGTACAATTTACATAAAAACTTATGTTTCATTGTATTTTTACCTGAAACTTTTTTAGAGATCTATGAGAGTGTATGATATATATATATATATATAAATCTTCCACACTATATACTCGCTCATCTAATTACTCACTCACTCATTCTTGAATACATACATACCATACATGCCTATCCAAAAGTTTATTAAAACATTCATTCATCATGTCACATTGCGCCCATCAATTTATCAATATCAATCAATGTCACCAACTATTTACAATTAAATAACAGCCGTAGTCAATAAAATGTAGCTAATAACCGTTAAATGCCTTGGGTATAGTAGTACATATATACAAAAACTCGTATATACTCATATAAATCAAGTGCTATAAACACCGTCATAAGCATTAACACCCATAATGGTGTGCAGCACCTCGCTTGGGTGGGTGCTGGCGTATGGGTGGCCCAACTAATGCATTGCCGTTGTTGTCACTCTGTGACTGGCAATCAAATATGGTATGGCATATGACGCAAAATCACCACAACAAGATTATAAAAGTTTTGACAATTAAACACGAATGTGGCTGTGAAATAATCTCAGAAATGTCTGAATTTAACAACCGCAACGCAGATATTGTCATTTTATTGCCCCATTGCCAGCTGGTTTCGTTCTTACACACATACATACACACTCACACATACATACACACCCACACATACATACATATACATACATATGTACACGAGTTGCATTGATGATGATGAGTGAGTGGTTGGTTGAAGCCTGAATTATGGTCTGATAGAATTTTTAAGTGATTGAATGGAGAATATTTGAATTGATATTTTTATGTGCGTCGACAAAAAAGCAGATGTGATTCTGAGGAACTGAAATCGAGCCATGCAAGGGAATGTAGGTAAACAAAAATTAATTTTCAACTCACAAGTCCGAAGTAGTTAGTCTTACTTCTAAAAATGTATTAGGTCAAGTAAAAGGTTCGTTCGGGTTTTTATTGATTTTTCAAAATATTACTTTGTGTGCATTTCTCAAATTTAAGTCAAATATGCGTCGTTTTGTTCGTTAATGTGTTGCCATCGAGATGCCAACTTCATCATACCTCTCTCTTAGAAGGCTGCGTCCCTTCTGGCAAAAAAAATCGGAGAAACCAATTTTCACAGCCCTCTTTTGAGACCAATTTCTTACCATTAAGCGCGTCCGTTATGGACAGGAAAAGATGCTAATCACTTGGTGCCAGGTCCGGACTATAAGGTGCATTAGGACCTTCTGGCGCGTCAACAAAAACGTGTGTGGCCTGGCCAGATGGCCTCTTCTGGATGAGTGCCGCCTTCAAGCGGTCCAGTTTTTGTCAGTAGCGGGCCGAATTGAGCGTTTGGCACTAGGGGAGTAGCTCGCAGTAGATGGTTCCTTGCCAATCCCACCAAACACATAGCAAAGCCTGGTGCATCTTTGACATCGAAATTACCGGAACGGAACCTAGAAAACCACTTTAGGCTAC